AATGAGGGAGAAATCACAGAATAAAATCATTCTGCTTTAAAGAATAAATACAATAGAATTTTCTGCCATTACAGTAAAGTATATAGAAATATATTCAAGCAGCAATATGCTGATTGATATTGATGTCTAATTTACATTTTGTGTAGAGATGTTCTATTCAAATGATTGCAGTGTATTTTTAGGGGCCAAGCACTGAAGGTGCACATAGTGTTTAGGGTAAAACATTGTGAAATTTGGTCCACGGATTAAAGGACTACGTTTGAGGTTTGCCTCCACAATTCTGTGGCTTATAACTTTTGATCCATGTGGACTGGAAACATAATGTGATTGTTTTGCTAATGATTTTAGTAAGACGATAATTAAAATACCATATTGGCCCGAATATAAGACGCCCCTGATTATAAGACGACCCCTCTTTTTCCAGATGTACCTTTTGGGAAAAGGCTTTTTAAAAACCAAATCTTGTTTTTTCTCAGTAAAACACATTTTGTCTTCAATTATTTCCATATTGCATATTTTTCCTATTTAAATTTTTGTTTTGAAAGTATGGTAAAAACTGGTAAAATGTACCAACAATCACATTAAAAAATATATACACTTAAAAACAAAAAAAACAGGTAGCCCATCTGTAAAAAATAGTTGACTCTGTGTCTGAATGCTCCCAGCAATGACGTTCAAGCTCAAGTGTATTTATTATGGACCTTACAAACACCATGAACCTCCATCTGGATATCACTGACAATCACGAGGCTGATGCGATCGTACCCGGATGCTCACATGTGTCATGCACTATTACTGTATCTCCACTTTGAAGGCCAAATTCAGTCGAACTGACCAGCATATGGTGCTCTTTGGCCTGCTGTGACAATGACGGCCATCAATTTGATATGTGTCTCAAAGGTTCAAAGACATGAAGAGCATCCACATGAGGAAACTCGTGTCTGCCGTACACTACAAATTAAGACGTGGAGTGTGAGATTGTAAGCTTTACACACAATTAGCAATCAAATTGTCTAAACAGGGTATTGCTTTCTAATCCACAGAGGTGATTTTGTCAATCTGAGGAACACAGACTTTGACAACATGATTATTCCTAGTATTAGTGAACAAGATTTGTGTCACAATCTTGTATCATACTCTCCTCAATCAATCACACACGTTGTATACTGGACTGAACTCATTTCATATGATAAATATAGATGTTTTTGTATGTCTATAAAAGGTAAAGTAGATTTTTGAATTTGCCTCCAAAGGGGGTTATTTTTGATTGTATTTTATGATTACATAAGTACTCTGTAGTAAGCACACTGAAACCATTCATATGCTTTGTATTTGAGTTTGGTTGTTGTTCATTTGTAATAGCTACACTAAATACTATTTATTATTGTAGTTAATGGCAAATAATGAGCAGGTGTAATGCACAGAACTCCTGGGCCATGAAATATATATGTAAACGAAGACAACTGATTATATTTGTTTAGCATCTTTTCTGAATTTTTCATCAGGTTTAAAGCTCCCCATGAATGAAATTTAAAATAGCCTACACCTGCATTCATTTATTGCTGATTGATGAATTAGCAGGTTACATTTGGCACAGTGCAAAGTAGACAATGTAAGAAAACATGGGATGTGAAAATTGGTTTGTAGGATATGAGCTCATGTCTATAGATACACCTAAGCAGTTATGTGATTAACTCATAACTATATAATCTAATCTATTGGTGTTCGTTAATAATGCACTTCCTTAGTTACTTTCTTATAAATGTTTAGTATGAATTTACATTTTGCCAGCTGTAATGATGTGCTATGTTTTAAAGTAAAGAGTGAAAATAAACTTGTACTTTCTGTTGTTTTAATTTAAATGACTAAGCCACTGTAAACGACTACATACAGGTATCATGAGACAAGTTCAGGTATTGCTTAGAAATGTCTTGTTCTGAATAAAATTGGAAAGGTCTTTTCTCACACACACGACACAAAAAAGCCAAACGAATCACTGATGAAACCTTTGAACATTCTCATGTCAGAAATAAAAGTTTAAAAAAAACAAGAATTAGCCACAGTTATGATGTTCAACTAAATAACAAGTAAAATTATTTGCAGTTATTTGTATGTTTGAATTTGATCAAGGTCAACAGCAAAACTGGTAAATAAAGTGATATTAAACACATAAAAGAATATTTGCATTATTTAACATTCTTTATTGGTTTACATAAAATACAGTGTTTGCATTGAACTGTGTGTTTTATGTATTTACAGAAATACATAAAAAAAGTGAGATGAGTAAAGAGCATCTGTTGCAGAAATCAGCATCTGGTGCTTAATTTAAGCAGCACATGCAGCAATGTATAGAGCTTACAGTTTGAGTGTATGACTCATATGGCTATGAGTGTAATTTAACAAATGGTTTAACAAACAGGTTTTACACTTTTTTTTTTCTTATCCTAAAGGAAACCATCCGTCCATCCAATTAATCTTTGGAAGGAAACTCAATTTCTCAGGCAACTTTCTCCACCTGGGCGATATAATCCAGCCAGCACATTGTAGGTCTTCCCTCTTCCCGGTTGAACATCCCCAGAACACTTCCCCAGAAGATATCAGATCCTGTCCAAATGCCTCAACCACTTCAACTGGCTCCTTTTGATGTGGAGGAACAAAGGGCTCTACTCTGAGCCCCTCTAAGATGCACAAGCTTCTCAACCCTGAGGTTAGCACTGACGGATGAAAACTCACTGGGAACAAGCTTGACTTACTACCAAGAATGCGGACACAGCTCTCACACTTGTTGTATAGGGATCGAAAGGCATGCACAAGTGGCAGCGGTACACCACACTCCCATAATGACCTCCACAAGACACACTGGAGAACGCAGTTTTAAGTCACAAAGCACATTCTGACTGGATACGGAAATGGAATCAATGCAATTGAGGATTGGCCACTCTGGTGTAGGTTTTCCCAGGCCGGCTGAGAAGTGTGATTCCTCGATAATTGGAACACACCCTCCAGTCTCCTCATCTGCTGACAAGGATGAGAAGGAGCTACAGCAGATGCCATCAGCTTAGGGGAAGCTTTGGTCTACACTAGGGCTGCCCCCTAATAGTCAACGAGAAGACGTTTGACGAAGACGAGATGTCGCCACAATAACAGACCAGTGGATAAAACTCTCTGACGTATTTGAAAGATTCTATGCCACGAACTTTAAATATTTCACATACTTTTGAAAATCCAGCATTTAGTTGATCCTGATAAGCGCTCGTCATCACAGTTGTAAACATGACGGCTTTCTTCTTTCGTGAGGGGGTTTGGCGTCGGCATGGCATCTTTGTTTCCAGGAGGAATGTTAAAGAACCCGACACGCACGTCTCCCGGAAATCCTGTATAATTCAACCAATCTGATGACGACTTCGAAACTCCTGAAGTGTTTCCACTTTTGTGTGCCATATGCATCAGACGTTCAGCCAGCGGTCCGCGGGCGTGACGTCTGAAGCTGAGACTAAGGGCAGCCCTAGTCTACACAACCTGGAGCTCTGAGAAACTTCTGGGCCAGAAGCAAATTCAGGCACAGCTTCCATAGTCATGGCATGGATTGCAAGCCAAGCTGTGGAAATGGGAGTCCCTGGTAGATCAGGAGAGTGCGAACATCCCAGCAGGACCATGGTGGCTCCAGAAGGTTGAGGAATCTGGATGGGACAGGGTAATAAGCTAGTGGGGAGCAGGTAAGAAAATAAATTGGGGTGGAGACAGTGGTGTGTTAAATCAAGAAATAGCTGGGTGACAATGTGCTGTCATTCTGAGAGACCCATAGGTAAACCAATCCCAAAAGGGTTTCTTCTTTTGTCTGATGGCCTCTGTCACCACCAGTGTCCAATAGAATTTTTTGGCTTTGGCACCACAACAGCCATCAACAACCTTCCAGCCACAGCTCGATGTCAAAACTGAAGGCTTTGAACAGGTCCCACTCAGACTCTCCAGCCTCCTTCGGGATAAAACTATAGCTGTTCCAATGTCAAATTTAAGTTAAAGATTTTCTAATCCTCTGGTGGTGATCAGCTAACAAAAAAGCTCAAAGCAGCAGGGGACGTTGAAGGGTGGACGTAACACTGGTTGAGGGCATCTTCAACATACTCCTCCATGGCCTTCTGTTTAGGAATGAATATTGTGGATATATGTGACCCTTGGGCAATGGTGCACCCAGACAGAGGCAAGGTGGTAATTTGGCAGCACGGCCAGGATAACTTTAGACATTCAGGAGTGCCCAGTTACTCAACAGAGATGGTGGTTTTGACTTCACTCGACGAGCTCTTGACTGAAGTGGTACAGACTTGTAATGAAGGAACAAAGTGAGAGGCTTCCGAGGAGATTCTTTGCAGCAGGTGGAGACAACTATTAAACATTTCTGACCCCAGGCCTGAATTTCACCTATATCCCAGGATATCTGAGACAAGTGTTCCTGGAGTGTTCCATCCTAGGAAGATATCAGCAGTAGAGCCCTCCAGAACCAGAAGTGAAGCTTCCTCTGAGCGTGTGAATCCAGAATGAAGATTAACTTTGTCCATTTGATGAGTGATGCCGCTGCCTAGAGTTCTTCCCATTATGGAGTCAGTGTTGAGCAGGGATTGGCAAGGGGATCACCCTGGATGGGGAGCCGGTGGTGGAGGTGGAGGTGGAGAAGAAGCTCCATGCCAAGCCTGAGGCGACAACGAATTTGACTGCAAGAGAGTGGGACGCACTAATGATTACCACAATAATATTAAATTGAGTATGAATTACTGAGAGGGCTTAAATAACACTCACCGCGGTACGAGGAGGTATGACTGGACATTCAGGAACGAGGTGACTGCCTACTCCACACTAGAGATGAAACTGAAGTCTGT